ATCCAAGGGGTTTTGAGGGGAAAAAAGAGAGTGTGTTGAATTAGAAAGCGATTACTAAACATTTACGTAATTAGCATAACTTGTAGATAAACGCTCACGGAGATTGTGCAGCCGGATCGGTCCAAGTGGATGCCGTCTCACCAAGCGGTCGAGTTCAACCGTGCATGGTGACAAAACGTGCTAATTCCTATACTGCCAGTTTTACACCACAGCAAGTTGGTGAGTGAAAGTTTAGCATAGAAGGGAAATACTCTTGGATTCTAGATCCTAGCAGATAGTGTATAATATAGCTGGATGATGAACAAGAAACTGACAGTAATTTCAATTGACAGATTTCAATAACAAAAGCGAATTCATTCTGCAAGATTTGTATTTTCTTGCAAAAATAGGATACATGTGTTTTCATCTATCATCTTACTAGTATAAAATTCTAAAAGATTCTCTCTCTGTCATAATTCTTGATTTGCAACTCAGTTTTGCAAGCGCGCAGTTTTGTTTGCCATGGTTTCAAATGTAGGTGAATCATTTTGACAGTCAGGGCAACATTTATTCGGCAGCCGTTCCCGCATTTCTTTGTAATTTCATGACTCCTAGTAAACTCCATAGAATTGTCCTTTTGGCAAGAACGTTAGATTAACATATCCTTTCCTTGCTTATCGGATTTTGAATCGCTATAAAATCTCATAATCGAAGAGAGGAAAATAAAAGGAAATTAATTTAATCGCAGAGAATCATTGCGAATGTAAACCCATGTGAAAAACCTTGCGAATCATCCTACTTAATTTTAAGAATTCTTCGTACGAATCTAATCCTTCTTTGAGTTCTCCTCTACCCTTTCTTTTGATAGCATTTGAGCACAAGGATTACAAAATTACTGCAAAAAACTCACCAAGCATAACCTTTCTAAATGAAAAAATTCTGCGCATGGCTTAAAGTAGCATATCAGGAAAACAGACGTATTTGCAAGGTACTTTCAAATACAACTAGATAAATTTAGATCTCAACTAAGATTGCATGAACAACATTCAAATACACGCACTACTACATAAGTATTCAGGCTGACCTGATTCAAGTATTACTGTTAAATAATGAAAATTTTCTACTCGAATTTGCGACTTGACGAGTTCTTTACTTTTTCATTCCTATTTTCGCACAATGCCGCGCTCTGAGTGGAATGGAATGTATAAATAAATTCAAAGCTTAAGTTTCTCACAGCTCACATCATCACCTCATCGAGAGAAGTGTGCAAAAATGACCCAACAAGTTCTGTCCTCCTCAACACCAAAAAAACGCCCTCAACTAAAGTGCTCACAATATTGCGCTACTTTTGCATTACAGATGTTGTCATCGCTTGCAAATATCTCTATAATTTGTCCCACTGGGCCTTTATCAAATATATGTTTGAAAACTTGATGATTTGTAGAAAATGTTGAAATATGGAGTAAGATTGAACGACATCATATTATATATTTTTTGTGTTTAATTTTCTATCCTTTGTTAGTTGGGGGTTGTTAAGGTTTGTGGAAAATTGGCATCCTATACGAAGGAGAGCACATTCGCGGGAGCCCCTTCTCCTGTCAGGTGAGCTTAAGGGTATACATAAAATTTTTGTCGCTTTTAGTAGAACGGTACAAAAATCTTGTCAATCTCGAATGCAGGTATTCGACGCTGGATTGGTGGAAGTGTATGGTTTAGACGTTGGATTAGTTGGCCAGGAGTTACGGTTCAACGTTAACGCTAGTGAGGCTGGTCGAGGAACTTTAGAGGTACGGATGAGGCTTTTCTTTTATTCATAACACGATTGTCGTACATTTTTTTTCTATATTTGACAATTTCTTAC